ATTATTGTATATGGAGAAAGGAAGAAAAAAAAAACACTGAATTCCTTATGGTACTTGGGCTGGATGGTAAAGCAGCATTCCTCAGTGGGCAGCTTCCTGCTTTGGCTATTTTCCATGTTAATGGAAGTAGTGCCAAGCCAAAAATAAATAAATTAATTCGTTAATTAATTAATTAATTAGAAGGCTTTCAGAACAAGCTTTCAACAACTTACCTACATCCATTAATGATTCTGCACTGAGACTTCTACCCTGCTTGAAAAGATGGAGTACAAAGAATCACAGGTACTGGCTAACCCAAGTCCAGGGCTGACTTCAAAGCAGTCATGGCTTATTCTGAGAAGATACATAGAGGAGGCTCCTGCAAGGATGCCATTTTATATTTCAAGCCTGGACAATATGGATGGGGTGGCAGACGCAGGAGATAGAAATAAGAAAAGTTAAAAAAGCACAGCCAAGTGTGGTCCTCAGGTCTTAGTTTAACACACTTGGGGTAAGCTACCCAGGGAACCAAAGAGCTGGCCAATCAGCTGTGTGAAGTGAGACGCCTGGTCCCAGGGACACCCAAGCAGTCAGCGAATTAGTTCCATTTTTCACTTTCAATTGATGAATTCTGTGTCATACAAGCCTGGCCTGCTTCGAACTGGACTTACATAGTGACGATGAAGAAGGTGACCTGGGTCCAAAATGCAAGTAGTAACGACAACTCCACAGTCAGCTTCACGTTGAAGACAGAAAGCTTAGGCAACTACAGGGGAGAATCCCAGGTTGAAAAGCACAACATGAAAAGATGAGGCTCCGTTTTGAAGCTTGCACTACTGCCATCCCTAGGCGTGAAACTGTAAATTAAAGAATGGTCTGTTGTCTGCTGCACGGAGCCAAATCAGAGACATTTCACACACACACACACACACACACACACACACACACACACACACACTTTAATCCAGGGTTCTTTCTAATTGAAGAAATAAATTCCACCTAAGCAGATGCCGCCCCCACCCCCACACATACACTTGCTATGGTATGTTTTGCATATTGGCAAGTGGGTGAGAAAGCTCTGCAACATGGTCTGCTCAGATATAGGATGGAATTTCCCAGTTTTTAAATGGTAACAGATGTAGTTTCGGCTGTAATACACATTGGGCTCTCTCCAAAAAAAACCCGCACACCCCAAGCTTTAATAATAAAATGTCACAGAATAACTACAAACCTTCCAGTCAGCAATGATTTGTGGCTGGTTGGTTTGTTTGCTTGTTTTTGTTTGCATGTTTTAGGGCTGAGTAAATGCCCCAATCCAGTTGTTTTCAGATTTCCAGGTCTATCTATCAAGAACTTCCATCTTCATTATTTTTTTCCCTTGCTTGTTTATAAAGAGAGATGTCATAATCATGTTTCTTGTGAAAATGAAAGTAATCAAAATGCCTTGTGGTTCCAGGAAAAGAGCTTCTTAGGGAGGCCTGGCTGCTATTGATGTTGTAAAAAGGCTCCTTTTACATGGTATTAGATGTTGAGAGCACATCATATTGATCTAGAAATAAAAAGCTTGATTTTTTTTTTAGTACAGTCAACTCTTACCTTCATAAGCACTTTATAACACTAGGAAGAAGGTTTTATTTTTAATTGAGGTAGAGTAAACAAATTACATTTGAAGAACATTGCTATTTTTAGGGAATGGAGGATTTGTAAGCTTTCTGGCAGCAATTCAGGTAGAATTATGAATAACTCTCACTCTTTCAAATTTGGCCCGGGCCTCCCATAGCAGCTCTGCCCAAGTCCGAAATGGGATTTAAACTATTGCCTTTGTTTTCTCCTTTTTCTTCGCAGGTACAGTTAGGAGCAGTTTTCTCAGTCCTTTGCCCGTGCCCGACGCCGAAACGCACCCTGGAGATCAGTAAGGGCCTCCTGCACACTCTGTACCTTCTTCATCCCTGAAAATGGTGATGGTGGCTGCCCTGGAAGCCGCAACGCCTGGTGAGACGCACTGCCCTGGCTGCATTTGCCAACAGACAGCAAAGCTTCGGTAGCATTTGATGGCACCTTCCCCTAATGATGTACACCTTTCATTTGTTTCTGTACTTTATCTTAAAGTTCATACCGCACCACTGGAAGAATAAATCAATACTTCAAATAATCTCTCTTTCCCCACCATACGATTCCGCTGCACTAAGAGTAGCAAGCTACCCAATACCAGCCTGTGAGCTAATCATCCTCCCATAGAGCAGAGCCAGCTGCCTTATCAGAAATTCTTTCGATTTTCTTAGCAACATGAGGCTCCCTTTCTAGAAGAAAGATGTTGCCTTTTGGGGAAATGCTTTCCCAAATCAAGTTAAACTAACTTTACCCGAAGAAACCGATAGTTTTTTTTTTCTCTTTTCAACCCCCCCCCCCATTGCT